GCCCATGGCTCCGCCCTTTCCTGGTGACGGGGTCTCTAACACCGCCCCGCGCACGTGTCGCGGGAGGCCCAGCGGCCGCTGCCGGAGCGCACAGACAGCAGCCCGGCGGGGCGAGGCGAGCGTCGCCGCGATGCTGCGAGGCGGCCAGCGCCGGCCGCTTGGCGGGCACGGCCGGGCTACGGGCCTGGGCAGCCTGCTGGCCTGGCTGATGCTGGCATCGGCGGGCGCCGCACCCTGCCCTGATGTCTGCTGCCCCCACGGCCCCTCGGGGCTGCGCTGCACCCGGGTTGGGGCCCTGGATAGCCTCCGCCACCTGCCGGGCATAGAGAACCTGACGGAGCTGTGAGTGTTCGCGGGCGACGGGGCGCGGGGACCGGCGGGCATAGCCGTGCCCCGAGGGCGCGGACGCGCGCTGGTCAGGAGGGGCGGGCGCGGGCGGCAGGCTGGGCCCCCGCAGTTATGCCTGGACGTTGGCTCGTGCTCAGTGCGGCTGGGGCGCTGGCTTCGGGGAGAGCAAGGGGGGCTCTCCGTGGACCAGTTCTGGGAAAGCCCCGCGATATCGAAGCCGCCTCCTGGAGCTCTGCTTGGAGGAAGGTGGTTAGCTGCAGACAGCCCTCCAGTTTGGCCCTTCTGGCCTTATCCCCTTTCCCAGGGGGACACTAGTCCCCACCCCATTTTTTGTCATGACCAGGCAACCCCAGCTCTTCTCCCTGGAATTGGGAATTGAACTGGAAAAGTGGGAGGTGGTGAGGAGTCATGGCTTGGTGGCTGAGGTCTCGGCTCCCCATTTCCACCACCTCTTGTCTCCGCAACCCCTTGCTTTGGATGTATGAAATGGGATGCCCCCCCTTTCTCTCTCCTCACCCCCACCTCCCTTTCCACCCTTGTCTCCCTACTTGGAGCGGGATGTCAGGCCCCAGACTGGGAGGAATCTCCCGCATTCTGCAGTAATCGGTTACAAAATACTCAAGTACTTTTGAGCAGCTGGTGAAACCTATGGGAGTATGCGGTAATGATTGGCCTAGAGGTACTCAAGCATCACAGGGTGATGACTAGAAAATACTTGAGTATTCTGTGTGGCTGATGGGGCCAGCAGGACTTCTAGGACAGAGGAGGACCTGCTAGAAAAATCCTCCTCTGGCCTGGGGCTTAGAGGGTGGACAAGGAACCCAGGCCTTAGGCGGTGATAGATGGGCTGGAAGGTATGCAAGGTAGTGCCGTCACTGTCTGGAAGTTACTTGAGTAGCATGCGATAATTGGCACTGAGTTACTTGGGTATCTCGTGGTAATTAACGGGAAGGTACTCAATCTCTCTAACGGCCCTAGGGAGACCAGCAGGAGAAGAGAGGGCCTTGTCTCGATCTGGGCCTAGGTCCCTGCATAATGGGAGGGAGCATGAGATCCAGGCTGCCACCCCCATTCCAGGTCACTCATCCCCCTGGGCCATCAAGCCACGGCCCGGGCTTCTACAGACCCCCATCAGCGCTCTCATCTCCCAGTTCCCTTCCAAGCCCCAAGTGGGTCCAGCGTGGGGCTGGGGTGGGGCGCGTGCACAGGCTGGGGCTGGGACTAGAACACATGCAGAGGGGTGAGGCGATGCCCCTCTGGGTGGGGCGGCAGCTGGACCCCCTGCCTCAGCCTGCACGGTCCCCTCCTCCACCACTCGCAGAGCTAACGAGGAGATAATGGACTCAAATAGACAGATTGATTATGAATCCAAACGAATGGGGCAGCTTGGAGTACGCTGCCTGACAGCTTTCTCACCCCTCCCTGGGTCCGTCCCTACAGCTCTGGGCAGGGACCTGCTCTCCCTCCGAGTCACTGGAGGTTCCCAGGGGACTGAGGGCCTGATACCCAGCTGTCTCGCTGGGTCCAAGGCTGCGACGGGGGGAGGAGGAGAGGGTCACTCACTCAGGCTGGGCCTGGTTCTCACACGTCAGGGAAAGTCAGAGGGGAGGGGAAGGGCGCTGGGACAGGCAGGGGCCCTTGGACCGGGCGCCTGTGTGTGGGGTGGGTACACGGACATGTTCCTGCAAAGAGCTGTGTTCCCAGGAACTCCCTGGCGTGTCCGATCCAGGACCCAGGGCGCCAACAGCCTCTCACCCTGCACGCTGCCCTTCCTCCCTTCTCCCTCATCTCCCCGTCTGGGCTCCCTGGCTCTCTGTCCTTATCTCTCTGTCTCTCTGTCTCCCTTTCCTTATCTGTCCTTCCCTTTGCCCGTCCGTCTCTCTGCCAGTCTCTCTTCCTGTCAGGTTCTCTTTCTCAGTGTCTCTGTCTCGCTGTCTGTCGTTCGACCACCCAGCCACATTGAGTCTTCCCTTCGCTCTCTCACTTTGTAAGCCAGGGGGTCCATGCCTCTTCACAGCCCCTTTCCTCCCTCCTGGGGCAGGGAGGAGTTCAGAGCGTCCCCGACTGACAGCCTCTCTGCCTCTGCTTGCTCTGCTGAGAGGCGGTTGGGGGTGGGTGGAGATTGCTGCTTGAGTGTGGGGAAAGGGAGAGGGTGGTGTACGTGTGTGTAACAACACGGGTGAGGCCAGATAGTGGCCCCGAGCAGGCGCGTTTGGGCACACAGGTTTGCATGACCGCAGGCGTCCCCTGCGCCGGGCGGGGCCGTGGCAGCAGATTCAGCGTGACCCCCTTAGCATGTGCAGGAGAGGCCTGGTGTGAAAGTGGAACGCCAGGCCGTGTGTTTATGAACGTGAGTGTGCACATGTGTGTGCACTTGAGATGCATACGTGTGCCCGTGTGTGAGGATGTGAGCATGCAGGTGTGTGCACCTGTGTATGAGACGCGTCTCTGTGCCTATGTACGTGCAGGTGTGCGCAGTCCCTGCGTGTGTCTGCGTGTAAACAGGCCCGTGCATGAGTGTGCATGCGTGTGATTGCGAGAGAGGCAGGTGGGTGGGTGTGGGACTCGGGGGCGGCTGGCCTCCTGTGACTCCCATCCCCTTCTCCCCACAGCTACATCGAGAATGAGACGCAGCTACAGCACCTGGAGCCCAGTCACCTGAGGGGCCTGGGGCAGCTGAGAAACCTGTGAGGGGTGGGACTCTGTGGGCCTGGGGCTCGGTACAGAGCCTGGAGGACCGAGGGTCGGGGTGGGCTCAGAGATCCCAGGGGCCTGGGAGGACAGAGGGGCTGGCAGAGGTCACAGCTAGTGCAGCCGAGGAAGCTGTGCGGGTTGGGGAGGGTTCAGCGTTCAGCACTGGGGGCTGGGGCTGGCATGGGCAGTGGTCCGGGCCCCGGGCAGCTAAGGCCCTGGGGCTGACCCTGCTGTTCCCGTCCCCAGCTCCATCGTGAAGAGTGGCCTCTATTTCGTGGCTCCAGATGCTTTCCATTTCACCCCTCGGCTCCGTCGCCTGTGAGTGGCCGGGGCTGGGCAGACGGGGTGGGAGGCCACCCAGACTTGGGCAGCTAATGGGCTTGGCCCTCCCCAGGGACCTGTTCTGAGAAAGGCTCCAGCCTGGGGCTTAGTCTCATCCCCTCTGGGGATGGCGATACTCTCAGCTCCCACCCCTGCCAGCTAGAAGGTCCTTCTTGCTGTCTCACTTCCATACTTCATGCTGTAGGAAGACCTCCTAGGTACCTGCCCCATTTCTCTTCCCAGGGTTCAGATACAGATGGACTGGGGAACAAGAGGGAAACAGGACCCTGGGGTGTGGCTGGGACTCCAGGCATAGCCTGGGAGCTGGGATATCAGATCTGCCACTCGTCCCCTCCTCCATTCCTGGGAGTCACAGCTCAGGACAGGGAGGGGAGGGATGGCCAGGAGAGACTTGGGAAGGGAGACCCCGGGAGTCCCTGGTGGCCCCTGTCCTGCGTGGGCGGTGGGGGGGAGAGACGGGGAGGGTGGCGGGGCCTGTCATTCCTGCGGTTGTGCTGGGGACTCTAAACGGTGGTGACCGATGATTTCGCAAAGAGCAGCAAAAACTAAGGTGATGTCACATCACTGACTGCATCCTGAGGGTTTCGGTGAAAAGTGTGTACTTCATGATATTTACCGACTTGGTAATAGAGAGTGTCATCCCGTTTTATAGATGAGGATGCTGGGACTCAGAGGGGCTGTTTCTGGGCTGAGGTCACACAGCTGTAAGTGGCAGAGCAGAACCACACTGAGCTCTGACAGGCACTAAAGTGGGCAGCCTTTCTGACCCCTGTGTGGTGGTGGCGCCTCTCCCACCTAGCCCCCACGGACTACAGGACAACTAGCAAAGACAGGGGTCAGGGCGGGAGCCTCAGAGGCAGCAGGGCCCCAGGAGTGGCAGGCTGGTGCAGGGCACAGCGTCCTGGGGCTCCTAACCAGCTTCCTGTGTGGGCAGCAGGCCACCCCCAGCTCACGTCTCCATCTCTACAACCAGGGGGCTTGGGCCCGGGTCCCCTCCAGCCCACTTTCCTTAGTCCCTGAGGAGGGGAAGGAAGGAGGGGTGGGGAGGAGACCTGAGGACGTGCTCTGAAGCCCTTGTCATCCGGTAGGGGGCAAGGGGTGTGGGAGCCCGGCCAGCCCCTCCTCTGGCCCCTCCAGGGCTCCACCAGGAGGGGAGCACAGATGGAGCTGGTCTCCCCAGCTGGGGCCTCAGCACTTTGCCAGCTGGGGCCAAGGGTGGTGGTGGGGGGGCAGCAGCTGTTCCCTGAGACCCCCTCCCTGGGGTCTGGGGAGGGGGTTAAGTGGGGTGAACCCTTGTCCCAGGAAGAAGCCTAACCTGTCTCCACCCCCGAGCCTCCACTGGTTCTGGATGTCAGCTTCCTCTCAGCCCCTCCCCTCGCCTCGTGCTGGGTCAGAGCGAGGTCTGTGGCTCACCGTCTGTCTCCCTGTCTCTGCTCCCCCAGGAATCTGTCCTTCAATGCTCTGGAGTCCCTGTCCTGGAAAACCGTCCAGGGCCTGTTCTTACAGGAGCTGTGAGTGCGGGGGCTTCCGGGGGCAGGAGTGTCCTTGCGTGTGTGCGCGTGGGACGCTATGTCGGGTGTCCATGTGAAACTAGCCGGGGGGGGGGAGGGTGGCCCGGGGCCTCCCTGTCCACCTGTGAGCTCCCATCAAAGCAGGCCCACCCTTGAGGGGGTTACTGCCCTGGGGGCGTGCCTGGGTGTGAGCCAGGGTGCTGGCCCGGACCACTAATTCTGTGTGAGCTCAGGAGGCTGGGGGCCGCCCACTGCCTGTGCACGTGGGATGGGTGGGACAGCAGTGGGCCATGTGCTTGGGGGGTACCCAAGGTCTCTGGGTCATTCGGAGAGGCAGTGTCCTTCCTTCTTGTCATCTGGTCTGTCCCCTGGGTAAGAGAGCCCCNCCCCCCCCCCCGGCCCAGCAGACTTCTCCCGAGAGGGGTGGTACGGCCAGAGGAGTGCAGCGGGCAGCCGGGACCCCAGGGGAGGGGTGGTTGGTCCTAGGTTCTGCCACCGATGTCTTGACACCTGCGGGGCAACTTCTGGCAGCCTTGACCGGCAGAGCAAGCTTGTTGAAACCTGGCAAGAATGTGACTTGTGTCTCCTGAACATTCAAGCCGTTGGCTCCTCGGAGCCCATCGGTCGCCCAGGAGGCCGCCACTCCCGTCCCTGCCAAGTCCCTTGGTTCCGACCAAGATCCCTTTGGAGAGAGGCATCACCCTGTGGGGCCCCACTTCTGTCCCACCACCTGCCCGAATTCAGGCTTCTCGGTTGGCCTGGCCTGTCTGTCCGTCCCTCCCTCAGGGACTTGGGGGCCGTCTGTGCCGGGGCCCTGGCAGAGAGGAGAGCGACGCGAGCTCTCTCCCTGGGGTTCTTGTCTGCCCCCCCTTTCCTGAGTCCCTCCTTCAGGGCCCCTCTTCCTCCTCCTCTCCCCGGCTTGAGACAGACCACAGCCCCGCGGGCTGTCAGGGGCTGGGACCTATCCTGTGGCGCCCTGGGTGCTGGGGATCCCGGGGCTTTCCGGGTGCGCGGCCTCCTAGGACCGACGGGTCCTCAGCTCCACCCGCCGGCCGCACCCGCGTCCAAGGAGCTAAGAGAAGACCTATTAATTTCTCCACGCAGAAATCAATGCTCTTGTCAGGGCGGCGATCGATGCCCGCTCGGCCCGGCTTGGCCCTGCCCGGCCGGGGGGCCAGCGCTGGCTGGCCGGGGGTCGGGGGCGGATGATGGGTGGCGAGGCGCAGCGCAGTGGGCGCTGCAGGCCGCGCCCCCACCCACCCGACCCCGGCCGAGCTCGCACCTTTGCTCGCGGGCTTCTGGCGCCACCCTGTGGCCTCTCCTGGAAGTCGGTGTCTCGGCTCCCGGGTCGCGCTTCTCCAACTCTTGGGGAGACACCTTCCTTCTCTGCTTCTTCTGAGCTTTCCTTCCCCCAGGTCCTGCGTTTGGTCTTTTGGGGGCCTCTCCCCTTTTCTTCCTAGGGTTTAGAGAGTGTTTCACCTCATTTACCCCAAGTGACACTGCACACTCGCTCAGGCGCGCGCGCCGTGAGGAGGGAGGTCGGAGGCCGGGGGGGCTGGCAAGGGCGACCTGGACCGCAACCTTTCCCGGCTCAGTCACCTCCCCTCCCCCCTAAATGCAGCTGCTTTAGGCTGGAAGAAACAGCGTATCAACTTCCCTGCTCCTCCACCCCAGCGGACACCTCCGAGGCGTTCCGCGGACGCCCCTCCGCGTCTCCTAGAGCTGGGGGTCCTCTTGGGGGAGAAGGATGGCGCGGGGCCCCCCCAAAGGGGTGGGGGCCGAGTTGGGGGCTTAGGAGGGGTGGGGGAGGCGTGGGAG